TTTCCCACAATGATTACATTCATAGGGCTTCTCTCCAGTATGGGTTCTTTGATGCAATACAAGACTGCTGTGACATGCAAAGGCTTTCCCACAATGATTACATTCATAGGGCTTCTCTCCAGTATGGGTTCTTTGATGCAATACAAGACTGCTGTGACATGCAAAGGCTTTCCCACATTGGTTGCATTCATAGGGTTTCTTTCCAGTATGTCTTCGTTTATGTCTTTGGAGGTAATACCGTAATGNTTTCCCACAATGATTACATTCATAGGGCTTCTCTCCAGTATGGGTTCTTTGATGCAATACAAGACTGCTGTGACATGCAAAGGCTTTCCCACATTGGTTGCATTCATAGGGTTTCTTTCCAGTATGTCTTCGTTTATGTCTTTGGAGGTAATACCGTAATGAAAAGGCTTTACCACATTGGCTGCATTCATAGGGATTCTCTCCACTATGGGATCTTTTATGCAATAGAAGACTGCTGTCACATGCAACGGCTTTACCACATTGATTACATTCAAAGGGTTTCTCTCCAGTACCGATTCTTTCATACCTTTGAAGATGATTATGATATGCAAAGGCTTTAACACATTGAGTAGTTTCAGGTTTATCTTCAGTATGGCTTCTTTTAAGCCTGCAATGAAAATTGGCATATGTAAAAGCTTTACCACATTCATTACACTGTTGACTATATCTGTATAAATTAGTTTACAATTTGGTTTAATTATAAAAGGCAATCAGATCTTAAACTTTTATCACTTTGTTTACACTCATGTTGCTCCCCTTTATTAAGGATTGCTTTTTACTGTTAAATACGCCTATGACGTAAGAGCCTTTCTTACAAGACTCACATTTAAAACATCAGTTTTCCATAAGAGATTTTTCACGTATTTGAAGAGAACTGGGAAAACTCAGAGCTTTACCACACATTGGATTCATAAAACTTTCCTATAGTGTGAGTCATACTATGTTTTTAAAGTTAACCAGGACAAACAAAATTATTTCCACATTACTAGTACTTATAGGGCTTTTCTGTAGTGTGAGTTTGTTGATGTCTTTCCAATGAAGCTTGAAAAGCAATTACTTGTAAGCTGGAAACACATTCAACAACTATATTCAATATGGGGACAACTAGAAATCTTCTAATTGTTCTGAGAGGAAGAAGGATATGTCATTACAATCATTATTCCATGTTCATATGACTTGTCTCCATAGTGACATATTATATACCTATTAAATGGAGAAAAACAAATAAAGGGTGTACATGTAGCAGTCACATGGTTTGATTTTCTTTTTCTCATAGACATATAGTATACTAACTAAGGTTTCTCCAGAACAACTTCCCCTTGGTTCTTGACTCTAACTACACCGCCTCTCATTAAACTTAACAGAGTCACAACAAGAATATGAGTAACATAAGGTCTGCTATGGACTATTTGCTTCTTAGAAGGTTTTGGACATATAATACTTATAACCTATTCAACATGCAAACATTTTGTAATGTAATGGTATGAAATTAAATAGCTTGGCAGTTCTACAGCATAGCTCTCATGAGGCTATGACTGAAATGGTGATATCTGTTAAGGCTTTGTTTTCCTGTCTTCTTTCTTAAAAGAATCACTTGCAAATACAATTCACCTACTTGGCATTTTGGTATATGGTTTTGAGAATTCAATAATCATCAATGCACTTTAAGTTGTACTAATAAACTGCTGCTTTCTTCGAGACATCGTAAAATTTTTTCCAAGGCATATTTGTATTAGCTTGCAAATGCAAATTACCTTCCATGTTTCCGAGAACTTTGACAATGTTCTTCAATATTATGACCTTCCCATTTGTAGCCTAAAATATAGCATAAGAAAATATGATGTTATTTGAAATTGTATAAAATAAATTATAATCAATCAACCTGAGAACCATGCCTGATTTTTTCATATCATCCTTCCACAGTCTCAATCATAATTACAGAAGAACATCAATAACCAAAAACGAGTTGTCCCCTTATTTTAAAATGTGAAGGAAAACTCACAGTCTTACCTATAGTAGTGAGGTTCCTACAGGTCTCCAGCATCACATCATTGTAGAGACTCTTCTGGGAAGGATCCAGCAAAGCCCACTCTTCCCGGGTGAAGTCAACATGCACATCATCATAGGTCACTACATTCTAAAATATCCCATAGATGTGGACAAAGAAAATGATACTGAAAATACAGAAAATGTATACTTCTTTGAAAATACAGTTATTTAAGTCTCATGCTATCCACACGTATTCCATGACACAGAAACTCTATTGCAATCACCAAGTCAGTTTAGAAGAAAACTGAAGAGGAGGATCATCTTTGTCATTTCTGAACCCTTTGAATGAGATATCACCTTGCTAGAGAAATGTATTAACAGATATAGAGAGAAAAGTAAACAGATCAATAGTACTGAGTATGAATCAGAGAAATTGTATGAACAATTTCAACTGAAAAAAAAAGGTGTACTGACTCATGCTTTTAATTGCAGCACTCAGAAAGCAGAGACAGATAGATCTGCCTCTGAATTAAAAGCTATTCTCATTTATACAATCAATTCCAGCACAATCAGAAATACATATTAAGACCCTGTTTCCTCTGCAAAAATCAAACAAACAGAAGACTAGAAAGAACTCAGTGGTTTTGTACTGAAATTCCTACAAAGAGTTATGTGTTGTAATTGGAAGCGGCGGGGCTGCGTCCCCAACACCCCGGCCGCTTGGCTAGCTTATGCCCGAAATAACAACACACAAACTGTATTCATTTAAAGAACTGCTTGGCCCA